AATAAATTTAAGAACTTATTTGTAAATATTACTCATGTATATACATATATAATGTATAGTAATTGAAATGTGACTGTATTTTACAAAATACTAGTCCACTAAAACAGCCAAGACAGGTCACTTTGTAAAGGTCAGTTTTATATTTTTGGATACAGTTTTATGAGTGCACATGCATCACATCATTGTAACTTCTGTATTGTTAGCCAGGCATGGCTGAAAGGTCAATATAATATTATGATATTTAAAATATTTAGACTAAACATTTGTGTTTTCGTGTTACAACCTGAAGTCATTCTAGAACAAAAAAAGCATAATTTAAATTTAATTTCTAATTTTTTATGGTGATTACGAGGCTGGTTAAATTGACAGATCCCATAGACTTAGGGTAAAGAAAATAACAGATAAAGATTTACTGAAAACAAACATTTGAAATCTATTTAGGAGGTTTTAGAGATATACACATATGAAATTGGAGATTTTTGAGATGAAGAAATGCATTTTTAATCTTAACATGAAAATCACTTTCCACACGGACTATTCAAAACAGATACTCAATATATTCACAGACAAATTCTTTTTTTTTAGTTTATTTAAAATACTCAACTAAAAAATATGACGTTTTGTATGTGAAAGACTTATAATGTTTACTGAAAGACTGACAAATTTTGTGAAGATATACATACTATATTAAAAGTTAGTAGTATCAAATCTATAAAGACTTTAAACGAGTATAAAAGAGGTCATGTGATCATTCAGATCGACCTAGCCCATATTGAGAGAGTTAAACAAAATACACACATGGAAACCTGTTAAGTTAATTCATTACTTTTCTGTAGCATGCAAACAATACAAAACTGTTAATAACTCACACTATTTCAAACACAGAGTGATACAGGTTTCATGATATTCTAACAAAAAAGTTTGGAAATTTCTATTCAATATATGAGAGTTCTGTAGACAAGCAATTGAGAAAACGAAAATAATCCAAAGTTTCAAATGATATATCTATTATTTTGACAACTTTAGAAACAAGAAAATTATAATGAAAAGTATGCAGGTAATTGAATTTTACAGTTCTTGACATCACAGACTTCAAAGATTCTCTGTTCTTAAACTGTTTTCACTAAGAGTAAATTTCAAATTTGTTTTGAATTTATGCATTTACAGCTTTGTTTCTTTTTTTGACAAGTTGTCTCTTCACAGGCGGGAAAGTTATGTATTTACATGACTTGAATGAATTTTCCAAAAAGAAACTAAATATTGACAGTTAGAATTAAATAATTGCTGATTTTGTAATTATTTCGTCCAAAACAAATATTAATAAAACTGAATTGAAAGAAAAGTTTAAACTTTTTAAGATTTCTGTTATAATTTTATTTTGAAGAAAGTTTGTAGATGTACATCACAAATAAGTTTTGAAAATTTGATATCGCAAATTTTCTCAGAGTGTGACCTAGAATGCCTGAGCTGGAAAGAGTTAATTAAAGCGAGACACTCACAGTACTTGGCAGTGTTGTAGTTCTTGGATTTTAATTCTATGAAGAGGTCAGCTGTAAATTTTTGTTGTAACTTCAGTTTCTCACATAAAGGTCAAATTTACCATCAGTTTACAAAAAAGTTTAATATTTTGTTATTTCCATGTATTCATTAACAATAAAGAACGTCCACACAATCGATACAATTATTGCATTATCTTTTGTTATTGGATACTCTTTATTCTTATTTAAGGTGACCCCCAAGAGATGAATTACTTTTGTGTGTGTGTTTTTTCTAGAGGCTATGGTTGTGTTATTAGAAGATTAGCACTTGTAATAAAATATGTTTATTTTTTAGCCATTTGCTCATAATGCAGATTGTGTTTGAAAGTTTAGTTGGTATGTGGGTTCACATTCTCTAACTGAAAAGTATGTTATTTTAAAATTAACCTATGCTGATTTTATTAATTTTCAAATTTCATATCTGTAATAATTAAATTAATTAAAATTCTGTGAAAAAAAAAAGTGGTTATCATTTCAGCCAAGTGACAGTCTTTGGTTAAGATGCTGACCCCACCAAAATATTTTGACCCACAATTTATTTTACTCCTATTTCTCTTTCAATCCTTCACAGTTCAGTAGCTACATTCTGCTTAGCTTAACCAAAAGTCATTTCAGAATAAAAGATTGACATAATAACCAAACTTTATCAGCTTACTTCATCAACAGTCAGTTTCTTAAACAGAACATTTTATGCCCTTAGGGTTATTCTTAGAAAAAAAAGAAAATCTATAAAGATGCTTATTGAATTGAATCCCAGGAAAGTTCTTGTAATGGTATATTTAAGTGTTTTAATTTTGTTTCTATTTTCAGTTAGTACGAATAGCAAAAGTATTAGGTACAGAAGAACTCTTTGAGTACTTAGACAAATACCAAATAGAATTAGATCCCAGGTTTAGCGATATTTTAGGAAGGTAAGTTTATACTGGATTTTTTTTGTACATTCACAATTTTTTTTCAACATTTTATAATCTCACTCTTGAAAACAATACCAGTATAAGACTAACTAAATAACACAATTTTAAATAATCAGTAGAAAACTTTTTTCAGCCTTGTGATTTCAAATAGAAGTATGATTTGTGTATTTCTAACAATTCCTGTAATATCTACAAAAAAATCATTAATACATGAGAATCTCATCATATTCAGTTTTATGCTAGCCTATAATAATGTGAGCTCTACTAATGTTACTGTAACAGTAAAGTTTCAATAGTAATATCATTTAAAAATTTACATTATAGAAACTAATAGTTGAATAAAATCAGGAATTTCTGTAATGTGCTTCATATTCAGGCAGTCAAAATACTAACCAGGTAGCCTGCTCTTTGAGAAGTTAGTTGGAGACATTACAGAGTATCTTATGAAACCATTCTTTGAAATAACTTGGAAGTTTTAATCATGCTTTGTTCCATCTCTTAGTGTACAATCAAAATTACACTTTTCAGTTTCAAATAGTTATTGATTATCTATAAAGTTTTTCTCTAATGTTCAGTGAAAACATGTAACTAATGTATAACGTACATAAATGTATCACTTCAGTGTTGACAGGCTTTCATCTGGGCCTTAAATAATAATACTAAATAGTTCATTTAGAAAATGATAAACTGAAAATATTTTCCCATCTATTGTATATCATTTGTAGAAAATTTGCATATATATATTTATATTACGCAAATATAAAATATAGGTATTTGTGCCACAAAAAATGCCAATTAAAACAGAAGTAAAATGATTAAATTTTTAAAAGAAACTTATAAAATGTTTTCTGTAGTGTTTTATATTATTTTAAAGGGGTTCAGGCTTGAAAAACATTAAACCTTGATTTGAAGGATGCTCTAAGAACAGTTGATTACTATTTTAATTTATTATGTAGTTACTGTAAAGCAGAGAAAGGAGAAAAAATTCTTGTTCAGTAATTATGTGATTAATGTTTTTATAAAGCTCGTATTTCATGATGAGATAAAAATATTGATTACTTATGTTGATAACTTTTGAACATACAGACATAATATTTATCTAGGTATTTGAATTTTATTGGTGAATTTCAGAATTCTAATATTTATTGTGTTGTGATGATTTGGAATATTACTTCTAGGATCTGTGAACTTTGTTAAAATATTTTTCATCTTTTCCTCAGTCATGTCCATAAATTTCGGAACAAGTGACATTTGTTCCTGGTGGTTTAAGTAGGGTGTGAAATCAAGTGTCACATCCTACATGCTGTACTCTTTGAATACTTTTCTTTTTTATTTCTGATGATTGCACTTATAAGAACTATATTCACTCACTTGTTATAAACTCTTACTGGTTTTATATCCAGAATTTCACTTTTACAAACCATTTATTTGCATTGAAGGGGAATGTTTATTGTGGTTTATTTTTTGAAATTTTATTTTCCTGTAAAATTATTGAAATTTCTAATATTAAAGTAGCTTGAGACCTGGTGCTACTGCCTTAAAACCAGTACTGTTTTTATGAATAACATTACCTGAAGGTATCAGTTGTAAGAGTGTTTGCATATATGCTCTTCCTCTTAAATATGAAGTTTTTAGTGTATAAAGAGACAGTATACATCTTCAGATGTCAAACCTAGGTTATTTCAGCTCTTATTCTCTATCGCTAATTGGTTTTTATTTCTATTAAACGTACCCTAGTGGATCTATGCTAAATATGAGATTAGGCTCCCAACAGTAGTCAGAGTACGTATTGCCCATTGTGTAGCTTTGCACTACGAAAAAAATTTCTATCAAAAAATGTTTTGCAATATCTAACTTTATCATTTTGTCTCCTCCAGACATTCAAGAAAACGATGGGAAAGGTTTGTTCACAGTGAAAACCAACACTTGGTCAGTCCTGAAGCTTTGGATTTTCTGGACAAACTCTTACGATATGATCATCAAGAAAGACTAACTGCCAGGGAAGCAATGGAACATCCATATTTTTGTAAGTTTATATAAATATAATGTAGATTTTCTTGTTTTCTATTGACCTAAATAAAAGGAGCACTGTAAGAAAACTGGGAATAAAGAGCACATCAGCTGTGTTTATTCAGATAGGCCAAGTTTTTTATTGACCTGAAATTATTCATGTGTGATGGTCTAAAATAACACGTCGCTACAACCGGGGGTTCAACAACTTATAAGACTGTAACAACACTTGGAATAAAATTTAGCAATTACCAAAAACACAGTTAATAAACACGTGCCTGGTCAGGACTTGATACAAATGTTAATGAACAATAAAACATAAATAGCAATATTAATTATTTCAAATAATGGAATCAAGAAAAAGAACCAGAAAAAGAAAAAAACTAATTCCAAAAAACAAAAAAAACACAATATTCAAAAATCACTTTGTGATGATAAATGTTTACTACATTAATAATATCTGTACATCGCTGCTAGGGAAGCTGGTGTCAGTTTTATAATACATACATATTTACTCAAAATAAATATATCAGCTAGAAGGTGAGTTAGTGTTTTAATGTAACTTAAATTTGCTATCTCACATGTAATATTTTGGTACTGATAAAGCACACTCATATCTTTCACAATATTATTTTTGCTAAGTTGAGCTATGAAAAATATTGTAAGGCTGCAGTAAATTAATTTTTGGGTAAGCCAGTGTTATGGACACAATGCTTATTATCCTCCATGTTGGATTTAGTTTCCTGAGTATGTTTATTAAAGGTTTACTAAGAAATACTTTTAATTTCAGCAGAAACAAAGAATAAAACTAGTTTTGAAGAAATTTATATAAACTCCAGAATAAATTTTAATCCAATTTAAATACCTGAAAATGCATTATGTAAAACAAATTGTTAACAAGTAAATCATGGCTGTCTGAGACCAAGCTATTGTGGCTGTCCAAATGGTACTACTTGTGGTCTCAACCATTAAATTTCTAAAAGAGTTTGTAACAAAAACAGAAATGGTAGTTTCACTGATCAACAACCAAGAAATAATAAACACCTGCACTGTTGTGTCAAGAGTGACTGACTGTATCAAAAACATTCACAGAAAAAGAACCAGAAATTAAGAAAAAAAAATAGAAATGTTATATGTTTATATAAAAAAAAATTACCAAAATGAAAATAATTCTTAAGCAGAATTACACAGGAATCTGTAGAAACACAAGATATGTACGTATTTTGTGGTAGCTTATCAAGACATTTAAAAATGTAGGCTTGAACCCTGTAAATGTTGGAACACTTGATGAGGCTCGTGCAAATTGAGCAAAATTTTACAAACATCTTTTGAAAACCTGCTATGTTCCTAAAATCATATTCAAAATCAGACATCTCAAGTAAAAGTTGTAAGTAACCAAAAGTAGGCCTAAAACATAACAGATGTCAATGACAATCACTGTGCAAGCAGTGTTGTATTGTTTTCACTAGAATATTTGATGAGGCTCATGCAAATTCAGCAAAATTTTATAAACATCTTTTGAAAACCTACTAAGTTCGTAAAATCTTGTTCCACTGTACTCAAAATCAGACATGTCAAGTAAAAGTTGTAAGTAACCAAAAGTAAGCCTGATACATAACAGGATGTCAATCACTGTACAAGCAGTGTTGTATTGTTTTCATTGCACAGAACATAGACCATGCCTTAACTTCTTAGATTGCACCAAGTACAATATATATACTAATTTTGTTATGACTTTTGTCATGTTTTTTGTGTCCTTTTTGTATATTGCTTGTTACTTGTAACTTTGAGAAATTAAACGTTTTTATTTCAGTCATATTTAGGACATATTTTTTCACATCACAATACAGTATTTTGACTTTTCATTGTCACTATTATTTCCATTGTTTTAACTGTTACACTGTGGTATTTTTACTGTATAACCTTATAATTTTCTCGTTTTACTATCACAATTCAATATTTTAATTTCCTTTATAGCTTTATCATTTTCAAGGTTTTGTCACGGTCACAATGTAACATTTGATCTTTTAATTTTGTCAACTTCAAGAGTAAAATGTTTAACTGATTGTTGGTATCTGTGTAGCAGACTGAGAATGTAGCTGACAAAAACAAGTTAAACATAAATGTACAATAGAGGGAGCATTAACAGTGCAACTGTGTTTGAGAAAAGCTACAATTCAATAACTGAGCACTGGTTACAAAGTTTTAATTCTCAGGCCTTTGTGTCAGTACTTACTGGTTCAACATACATTAGAGATTAAAACATGAAGAGGAGTACACTGTCACTCAAAAATTGGGTAAGAAAAAGTTTTAAATGCACAAGATTTTATTTATAATCTTATATCGCACACAGAAACAAACTATGGACTAGACTTGTCACTATTTGTTTTCTGTAAATTCAAATTATTAATGAAGAGTGATTAAGCACAAAAAAACTGCATAAAAGATGGGTTTCACAGATTAGTTATCATCAAACAGAAAAAAGTGGGATCATACCTGACACAAGAAAATTTTTAAATAAATGTGATTTTAAATGTTATTAAAGTGCATTTAGGCTTTTTTATTAGCAATAGATTCATTCAACAGGCATCGAAGTTTATTGATGAACAGTAGAACGATGGCAACAACAACAAACATTTAATTTTTGAACTTTTCAAAATGTACATATTTCATCAGCAAGCTATATTGAACAACGTAAAGTACTAGGTACAAAAATTTCTAAATGTTCAACATTTTGAGAAGAGTAGTTAAAATACAGAGTAAAAAGATGAAGTCAATTAAAAAACAAGAATAGGATAATGCAACAGTTGTGTTATTATTTTAGAGTTAGGAGTTCATTTATAATAGATAAAACTTTCTTTAATTATATATTATAATAAAAAGTAATAATGTTTTAAATGTGTTTTATTTATTATTTTTGCTGTTAATAATAAACGGTTTTTGCTTTGTCAACTGCTATTGTTGTCCCTTGGTTAAAAAACATTCTATGCCAATCACATTTACTATATCAGAAGAAAGAACATGTTCATTTGCTGTTGATAGTTAATAAGTCCACAGCATGTTACTTCATACAGCAGGTTAATGTAATTCTGTCTTGTGTAACTCTGTGTAGTAGATCATAGTAACTATTATGTGACTTCATGTAGTAGATCATGGTAACTGATTGGACTTCATCTACTAGATCATGATTACTGTTTAGCATGTAGATCATGGTAATTGTTGCATGTGCCATCATGTAGTATATCAGGATAAGTATGTGATGTCCTAACTCAATAACCTGTAATTACTATTGGCTTGTGAATTAATATATCAAAGGCATGATTGTGGAAGAGCTTTATAATGGTGTTCACAGTGCTTTTATCTTAAATATTTCAGATCCGGTTGTAAAAGAACAACAAGTACGATATGAACACATCACTGGACATAGCAATTCCCCCACACCAGTTTCAGGTATATAAGTTAGTAATTTTTTATCTTTTTCTATGAGGAAAGTAATATTTGTAGAAGCAGGAGCTAATAATATTCTTAAAGAATGTATGGTTTTAAACATCAAGAAAACAAACAGTAGCAAGGAGGAGTTTGTAAGTTGTTTATTAGCATTTATGTTATTTGTTTTGGAGTTTCTGATTTCAATGATTTTTTTTTTTTTTTTTTACAGTTTCAAGTGGGCTGACATCAAGCACTGTCGCTGGTGTGCCAGCATCGCCTATCACTTCCCCTAATCTCACGTGTCTCCCAAATCCAGCTATGGCCCAGTCTTAAGCCCTTAGTGTTACTAATAACTGTCTTGTCATGAGCCACCTTTGAGAAGATTGTTTCAGACCTTAGATACAATAGAGGCAAGGTTGTACACACTATTCTGGCTAACTTAAATGAAGATAAAATGCAGTGAGGTCAAAACAGTTTTATAAGGTCTGAACAAATTTTATTATTAACCAGTTCATATAAGAAGCCTGATGTTTAAAGAGAAATGCTTGTGACTGTCTGTAGTAATATAGAGTATCGAAGACAATTTTGTAGCATTATACAAGCAAGATGTAGCATGAAATAATGTATTAAACATGTATGGGTTCTTACCTATTTTAATATTTAAATGTTGCCAAATCCAATAGAGGGCACCAATGTGTAGTTGATGTTTTCAAAAACATAATCAGTTTTGAAATGTATCTGTGTGAACAACCGGTCATTACATGGTATTATATAGGATCATCATCCCCCATTTATATAAAACATTGTGGCTGCTAGGATAGGAAATAACCATATTTGTTTTAATTCTTCATGGAAGTATATGGATCCTCTTACCTATTTAAGAGAGACCATGTTTTTACTGATCTCTTATCTTTTTACATTTTCTACTTACTAAACAAAAATAGATATGTAATGTCAACCACTTTTAATTTTTGCATTTCAGCTTGTTACTAATGGAAATGAAGTTTATTTACTTCCTTATCCCTTATATTTAGGAAAGTAAATTTAAGGTTTTGTCTGTTCTCTTCTTTTATATGGTCATCAATAACTTCACTCAAAGTAAACAGAAATGTTACGTCCTGTCTATGGAGGGAGATATCATGCATTTAGAAATAGCAAAATTACTGTTGTATTAGCCAACTTTTTATGTTTTGAAAAGTAAAAAATCTTCAACAGTGTTTTATTGAAAAACTTTGGTTAGGTTCTCCTTATAATTGTAACTTTGTTAATAAAACAAGATAGGGAAAATAAAGTGTTGTCACTGCATAATTTTACATGAGAGTCTGTTTGTTAGTATGCTGTGATGGGTTTAACCTGGAGAACATTTTACAAGAAATTATGGAACAGAAAATGGTCAAACAGATTAAATGGATTATTTATTCAAATTGATAACACATTTAGTTTCATAAAAGATATTAAAATAAGTTTTTAGTTTTAATAGAATCTCAACCATAAGTTGTATTTTATAAATTTTGTATAAAAGCATTTCAAATCGTATCTTTATGTGAGTTTGTGAAATAATATTTACAAGATTTCTTTTAACTCTGAATATAATAATTTCAGACCAGTCATTGCATTTTTCATTTCCAAAGAAAAACATTTCTATTTGACTATTACCCACAGTAAACAGTAGTGACATTGTACTTTTGGACAGGGCATTACATGCTGTTCTAAGTCGTAAAATGAGTTTCCTTTCTTCTGCATTGATATTTGTATTCACCTCTCATTTTAAAATTGAATGCACGATATGATGTACTGTGCAAACATATTTGAAAACGTGTGAATTCTAAAAGAAGAAAAATACAGTAAATACATGTATATACACACACACACACACAAAGGTCTCATGTGTATATAAAGTAATGTAAATGTATTACCTAGTAAAATAGGTCTTACTTACAACAGAGAAATTTGAAAACAAAAATAAAACTCAATGCTAATCATTATCATTCAAATATCTGTCAAGCCTTCCCTTGCAAATATTATGATGTAAACTTATCGCAGTTAAACTAAATATTTTTTTATTAAAACTGTAAATTTGTGTTTGCATTTAAGCACACATATTCTTTTAGTCTGTTGACTTGCACTGTAAAAGCTGATCTCCAACATACATGTTGAAAAGAGGAGTAACATTAGAAGTTAGTTAATCTTCTGGCACCTGTCCCCTATTTAAGGACTTCAAAAAATAATTTGTAGCAAGTGGCTTACATATCCAATCTTTAATCTTCTTCAGAACCCTTGGGGAAATATTATCTGGTCCAGGAGCCTTATCATTCTTTAAGCTTTCCAATTTTGTTTCCATCTAGCAACTGTTCAGAATGAGGAATATTTCTTAGATCTTCATTATTGAAAATAATTTGTAGTTCTAGTAAATGGATCATGGTCCAACAATAGTTAATTGGATAATAGATTTGTATGGAACACATCTTTAAATGATAAGGATTAAATTTGCAGAGAACTTTTGTAACTGAATTGAGATATGTTGAGAGAATAGGGGGATTTTTAAAGCAATCTGGATGGTAAATGGAAAATATAAGGGTGTACACAAGTAAAATACTTTGAAATGTACTATATAGTTACAATGAACTAGAAAGAAGTTGAACTCTTGCTTTCTATGATTAAGAACTTATAGTCATTGGAAAACTATTTGTGACAAAAAATCCCTTATTCATTGATCTTATTTCCTGTTTAGAATTAACCAACTTTGCTAATATAAGACATCTGTAGTTCCTTTAGATTTTGGAAGTGCATGAAACAAATAGTATGTTTTATTCATAAAGTGTAAATACTATCTATGTACATAAAGCACAAAAATCTGTGCCTGTCTGTTCGTCCATTATCTAACTGCTCCTAGGTTGCTGGGCCAATCTCAACCAAACTTTATGGGATAATAGTTTGGAATAAGGGGCATGTTAATGGGTGGTTCATAACCCCCTCTTACAATCAGGTTGTTAATGCCCTGATTAAAGAAATCACTTAACTTTGAAGCAAAAAACGTGTCGATATCCTCTTTAACACATTCCACACTTGCATACGTTTTCCCATTAAGATGGTGTTGCAGCAAACGAAAAAGATGGTGATCTGATGGTTCCATATCTGGAGAATATGGTGGGTGGGGGAGAACTTCCCAACCCAACTCCATAATCTTGTGTTTGTAATGTGAACTTGCATTGTCGTGGAGAAGAAGAACACCTTTCCAATTGACGAGTGAAGTGCGTTTCTTGATTTAAACGTTCCAGTTGCTGACTATGGATCTCTGCATTGACAGTTCGCTGTGGATTAAGGAGTTTGAAATGAACTACTCCTTTGATGTCCCACCAAATGCAAAGCATCACTTTCTGCGGATGGAGTCCAGGTTTTGGGGTCGGAAGTGGTTTTTTGTCTAGGACTGAGCCATTATTTTTGGCGTTTAATATTCGCATAGAGAATGTATTTTTCATCACCGGTGACAATTCTGTCCAAAAATAGTTCACGCGCATTACGCGCAGGAAGAGACAAAGCAACGTTCACACATTGGAAACGATGATTATCGGAGAGTTCGTGAGGCACCAAAACACCTTCTTTAAGGAGTTTCTCC